ATCATCTATCTATCTATCTATCTATCTATCTATCTATCTATCTATCTATCTATCTATCTATCTATCTATCTATCTATCTATCATCTATCTAAAATTAATAATAGACCCCAGTTTAGGCTAACTTCTAAATGTTTAAATAAAAGCATTATCTTTCTTCTGTTTATCAAAAATACATACTGTAAGCTATCAAAAAAAGATATACCTAGATATAAATGTTTATACAATGGATATGTGGGAATCAGTTATCCATAACTCAAGTCTTTGTGCTTTGATTCAAGCCAGCATTTCAATTTTGTATTTCTTTACAAAAAGTACACTTGATGTACAGAACTAAAGGCTTCAATAATTTGTTTCCTTTAATTTCAGGACTTATTGTACATGAAGGTGCATCAGTTTGCAGAGTATTTAAGCGTTGGAGAGCTGTCAATTTGCACTGGGATGTACAAAATTATGACAAAGCCACAGACATAGAAGAGAGCACTCGAGGAGAATCCTCCACAGCGAGGACTTTGTGGCTACCACTAAATGCATTGAGAAACAGGAATTTAGTTCATTCAACACAGTTAACTTCACCAAGATTTCAATGTGGCTATGTTTTATTACAACTCTTCACTCGAATGAGACCTCCGGAGGATTCATCAGATGACAACAGTTCTGGAGAGGTTGTTATGAGAGTGACTTCAGTATAAAAGTTACGATCATTATCCTTCACAAACTAGGACATTTTGCCTAAAACATGTGAAATATTCTGGAATGTAATGCAATGAATGGTGAAACCATAGCACATAAAAATATATAAACTTTTTTAGTTTATGCTTTTATATGATCAGTTGAATTGCAAATTACATTCTCCCAGGAAAGTATTTCTTTCTTTTGATACCATGATTTATTACTTTTTATCTATTTGTACTTGGCATTTATAAAAATATAATTTAACAGTAGCTTTAATAATGTGAAGACAAATATTTTAAACTACAACTATTTTTGATAGATTTAAATGTATTTTTAAAGTTCTTCGTCATCTATAAGTTTCCAGTTATAGTAAATTAAATTAATGACATGGCTTAAGGTAAGGAAACAATAGAAATTCATCTACATCATTTCAGTTTGGGAAATAAGTATATGTTTCATTCTGGTCTTCGGACAGACATAGTGTTATTTTGGGGTTGGACAGGGGTCATGCTGTAAACTAAGAGGTGAAAAACAAAATATTGCATTCTTGAAAATAAAGAAAGTAATTATCTGTGAAATATGATTCACAGATATACACATCACCTGGGTTCCAAGATATTGTTATCCGTATTTCATAATATAGGTTCAATGACGCAGTTTTAGGGTTCTTTTATGGAAAAAAAAGGGAAATCAGCATTTAAATAAGCATTTCATGCAAGACAGAAAAATGTTCTACAATTGTTTTCAGGATTTTTGACTGTAAGCATTTAGCAAGATGGTTTGTTTCTTACTTTCATGACAATTCTATTTGATTTTATTTTCATATTAGCTAAATTAAATTCAGTTACATTGAAAGAAATTTTCTTTACTGTATTTCCATTTTTTAAATTATTTGTATCCTTTCTTCTTGCATTTAGCATTTCAATTCATTTTTCACTTTGCTTAAAGATGAAAAAGAAAAAGTAGTTGCTTAAAAATCTAGATATCTTTACAAGAAAAAATAATAATATTCAGTTGTATTCTTCCAAAGTTTTGTTACTTGAGTAACCTTATCTAAGAGATTGATAAAATTCTTTTAAGTATGAAACAGCACAGGCTTGGACAAATAATTTGTATGAAATAGATTTACCTGATCATCTTCATCAAAGCACACTATGAAAATGAAGGGGGGAAATTTGTCCTTCTTAATCCTATCCAAATTGGATGCAGCAGGATCAGATTATATAATACCCTGTTTTGAAATTATACCAGAGAGATGGCCTTTTACAATTTCTTCACCCAGAATTTCAGCAAAATCATTTTGTAATAAGAAATAAGATTGATTTAGATTAGAAAGATCCAGGAATTTTATATTTCTGTCACATTGTTTTAATACATCTTTTTATGCTTAAAACAAGACATAGAGTTGGAACTATTTAGAGATTTTTTTAAAAAAAAGCCGTTTGTAAAATCAGTTTAATTTTCAGTGTTATTTCTTACCAATTCAGAAAATATATCTTAATTAAATCCTGGAAAGCCACCATAGTAACTTTACTAATTTGTAGTTATCCACTTTGGTTCTTTTTCAGATTGGGTTGTTCTTAATTTTCAGATTGGGTTGTCATTAATAGTTATTCTTCGTTGTTTTCAAAAGTTATGAACATAACTAAGAAGAATGCTCATTCATTTAACATTCAAGGGCTTCCAAAATAACTAGAACATTAGCCTTAAGATATTTAAAATTAATACCTTTAATTAATTATTTAATTAATTTAATTCTACACATTTCAGTAAATTAATGACATAGCTAAGTAAAAATGTGTGGGCTGGGCTTGAGCTGAAAGAGATATTTGCAATCTTTTATGAGTGTAATATTTGTTTGCAATCCTACTTGGCTGCAAGCGTCACTGATTAACAGACTATACATATCCTGGCAAGTAGGTGCAATATTTATAGTGCAGCCCTAAATCTTACACCTAGTAAATCTTCTGTTGAAAATCCGACTTTCAATGTAATGTATCTACTTATTTAGATTTATCATATACTCTTTAGTTGAGATCAACTCAAACTTAACCTTTTGGTTACAAAAACTGTCAAGATGGGGTACAATATATATTTATGATTTAACTCACAAATACAACAAACCAGGGTATTATAGTTATAATCAATGTTCTGTAATAGTATATACATATGTATGTATGTATCAGGGGTGGGTTTCTCGCCCCGTTCCAACCGGTTCGGTTGGAATGGGGCCGGCGGCGTCCTCGTGCACGCGCGCGGTGCACGCATGCGTACTAGCGTCTGCGCGACGCTCCAGCTGCTCCTGCACGATCGCGCAGGCGCTGTATGTGTCCTGCGCATGCGTGGAAGCGCAGAACTCGTCAAAACCGGGTAAGGACCGTGGGCGGGCGCACCCACCCTTCGCCATTCCTGGAAGTTACTTACTTCCGGGTTTGGCGACCAACCGGTTCGCAGGGACCACCGCGAACCGGTTGAAACCCACCCCTGGTATGTATGCACACACACACACACACACACACACACACACACACACACACACA